CTCCTAGCGCGGTAAAAACTCAGACACTCCTTATACTACAAAAGGTTTTGGATGATATTATAGTGGCACCATCTACACATCATTTACTTTGTGGTGACTTTAACATTAATGTTTTAAGAAAGAGTAAACGACTCTCTGAACTTCTAAGTAAGTTAAATGGAAACGATCTTTTCCTACAAAATGGAAATGAAGCAACCAGAGAAACTAAGACCAGCAAGACGTGTATAGATCTGTTTTTTTCCAATGTAAAAAAATAGTAACCATCTTTAAAACATCGGTAACTGATCATGATGGAGTAATTTTAAACGCAACAGCACAAACAAGCAAAAATGAACCTTTTATTACCAAAGCCCGACCATGGTACAAACTTGAATCGGAATCTTTTCTGAAAGAAATAAATGAGTCTTTATATGAAAATTTATTAGAAGTTGAAACAAAAATTAGCCAATTTATTTGCGATGAGCTTTTTTTTTATTGCTGAATGAAAATCTTAGAAATAACATTGAATCTTTTTTACCAGAAAAAAACATCAAATAGAAAAACTTCGAAGCACTGGGTTGATAATGAATTGAAAAATGCAGCATCGAAAAAGCACCGATTTAGGAAACTTTTTTAAAAACTGGAACCGCTGAAGCCAGAAGTAAATTTGAATCTCAAAAAAAAAATTAGTTCGCAAAATGCTGAGTCGGAAAAAAAGCATTTTATCAAAACAAATTACGACTGGAATCCAACAACAACAGCAGAGAATTTTTCCGTCTGTACAATGACCTAACATGTGCTACCAAAAACAACGACCATGAAAAAAAAAACATAAATGTTGATGAATTTAACGACTTCTTTGCAAATATTGGAGAGAAATTGGCGAGGAATTTTATTACTTCAAAAGAATTAAGAGTCAAAAAGCAAATTAACTCAATGTTTTTAGCTAATATAACGCAAAGTGAAACTTCAAATATAATCGAATCGCTAAAAACCAAGTTTAGTTTGGATACATATGGACTTAATCCCTATTACTTGGAAAAAATTTGTCCAGTTTTGACAAAACTTTTACAAAAATGTTTGGATAGACAAGTCTTTCCAGACAGTTTCAAAATGGCTAAAGTTAAACCTCTCTTCAAAGAAGGCAATGATCTATACCCATCACATTACAGGCCAATTTCTCTTTTACGAGTTGTTGGTAAAATTTTTGAGCGGGTCATTTATAACAGAATGAACCCATATCTCACTAAGTATCAGTTACTACAAAATTGACAGTTTGGGTTCAGATCAAAAAGGAGTACAATTGATGCTTTGATAACCCTAAAAGAAGAAGGCGTCAAGATTGGGATTCGAATGACACGAAGACACAGCGCACATTCATTGACCTTAAGAAAGCCTTTGCTACAGTTGACCACATTCTTTTACTTGAGAAATGTGACGCATATGGTTTTCGGGGACCTGTTTTTGATCTTCTAAAATCTTATTTAAAAAACCGACAACATTACGTTGCCACTAAAACCAAACGCTCTCAAAATAAAAATGTGAATTATGGAGTAACACAGGGATCCATACTAGGCCCACTTCTATTCATCATTTATATAAATGATATTGAGCTAAATGAAAAAAGTGAAAGTAATCTGATTTTATATGCAGACGACACTGTCATAAAAACAACAGCTAGAAACAGGGACTTAACCGGTAAACATCAAGAAGCGTTGGACAAAACAGCAAGTTGGCTAGAAAAAAACAAGCTGCCCTTAAATGAAGATAAAACAAAAACAATGATACTATCTAAGAAGAGCAGCGGTAAATCAGATGTCAAAATGAATGGAATAATTATTGAATAAAAACAATCGTTCCGATACTTAGGTGTTCAAACTGACTCTAAGCTTTCCTTTACTGATCATATTACAAAACTTTAAAATAAATTGCCAAGGTTTTGTGGGAGGTATTACAGGTTGGGGAAAACTTTAGGTAAAGATCAACTATTGAAAGCATATAACGCTTATGTGAAACCCATTTTACAGTACGGGGTTTCGGCTTATGCGTCAACAGGCAAAACGAAATTAGAAACAATTGAATTTAAAATTTAACGGCTTCTAAAAAATATTTGTTTTAAAAGAAGAAACGAAAGCATCGAAGAACTGAGACAAAAACGCAAAATATACTTCGTAAATAAATACATATCTATGAAATATTAAAGTTACTATGTAAGGTTTTGAGAAAAGAGTGCATATCGGCCATTGTCCAGGAAGCTGTAACTGAGAATAGTTTGAACACAATTTTGAATAAGAGAGTTTTTTTAGCTAGGCAGATGCCTGTGCAATCAAAGGGTAATCAAAAACTTCTGTAAACGTTAGAATTAGAAAACTTTTCAACTTTGTTCTAAAAAACTACCCCGATTTTGTTACCAAGATTCAGAGCTGCACACAATATCAATTAAAAATCTTCAACCATGAGTTTTTGGACAATTTTATTCTAGAAAGTTATCAACTGTTTAAACTCATTTTTGAGTAAAATTAGTATTTAAAAAAAAGATTTGCTGTCAAGGGTAGGTATACTGCTGAAAATTTCCGCTTTTTTCGCTCCAAAAATTTTTTCTTCTTTAAATCATTAAATCTTTTTTTTTGATTTCTTGATTAACTATCGATATTTAAAAATAACAGAAGTCATAGCAGGATCAGAGGCGCCTGAAAACGGGCTGCATAGTTCCACGGCGTTCTCGCAATGTGATTACGTTTGTTAGTAAATGTAGTAACTTTTACAATGAATGGAATCTAATTTGCAAACAATTTATTATGATTGTTATATTAAAGAGCTTCATTTAAATGGAATTAAACCATTCATTTAGAAAAAAAAATTCTACGCATAGAACAAATTAAAGTGTTATCATAAAAAATGTCGCCTGTGCAATACCAAACAATAAAACTTTTAAAACAATACCAGAAACTGATTGACAAATGATTCTTGGGAATCTTGGCCATTAGTTTTTCTTATACTTTAGTTACAAGATAGCATTAGCTATTGGAGTCCGATTATGACATAATTGCGGACAGTCAAACAAGGTAGGAATCAGTAAAGTTCAAATGGAACAAGTTCAAAAATTACCAAAGTTGTTTCAAGGAATCTCATTGCGAAGTGCTTCTGTTAGACCATTTGCTTTAAAAAAACTCTAGTTTCCGATTTGCTGGCTGTTTTTAATCAGATGCGTATAGATAATAAGAGTTTTCATTTCATTAAACCATATATTTGAACAAAAAGTGCAGCATAGAGCAAAAGTCGAGGCATGTCGAGGGCCCGCAAAAGACACATTTTGGATTTTTTTATGATTTCAACAAAGCAATATTTAAGTAAATTTGACTTGGGTGTAACACTCAGTTGTTAGACATTAATTTAAAGCTTCAGTTTAAAATTATAAAAAAAAATCGCCAGTATTGCCTAAAATACGCGCCTCAATTTTCAAATTAGAAACCTGCTTTTACCGGATTTGGGCTCTGACCTCCAAACACTACTTTTTATGCTATGTTGTAGCCTTTTTGCATAGATTTTCATAATAAATTCCAGAAAAACATGAACGCGTTTTCATAGGAAGGATTTCAACTCCACATCTTTGCACAAATATTTGCACAGAAGCGTATAACTTGCTTTAGAAAAATGGATAAACCGTATAATACTACGTTTGCAACTTCTGTTGTTCAATACAAGACCATAACCTACAGAAGGTTCAAAAATTTTAAAACAACAAATAAATGGAAAAAGACAGAGACTTAAAACATTTTTGTTTTTGAAGAAAAAATATACCAGGTTGAAGCGCTTTGAGTTTCCAGCGCTGTTTTGATTATCACTATCTGTAGGATCTTAACACATGTTAGCAGGGGCAGATCTAGGGTGTACTCAAGGGGGACGGTAGCCCGAAAATGGATTTCATAGAATAATGCCAACCTTTGGTTGGTGAGGGGGTCGAATCCATGAGAGAGAGAGAGAGAGAAAGGTGACGTTCCGGCATGGTAAGAACCCCTCCCCAAAATCTGCTCCTCCATCTTAAGAAAACTGTGTCAATTGAATAAAATTTTGTGACGTTTCCGGTTTCATAACTGTAGAGCCATTTGATTTCCTTACAGCAAAATAACTTGATTTAAAAACTAAAAGTTAACTCATAAATGCATTATTAAATATGAGGCACTTCAGTTAGTTTTTTAGCGTATTTCAAGATTTTCCTGCAGAAAACATTAAGACCTAATTAAGCAAAAACCATTTCGTTCTTTCGCACGTTAACAGAATCACATTAAACTAATCAATTGTTTTTGTGGCGATAATAAAAATGTCGGAGAGGCTCTTCTAATTAGAGCTCCTCTTGACCAAGGATTTTGGAAAACAAGACTCCAAAATCAAGCCGCTGTAAAGTTGCAAGTTGAACATAGCCAACTGACATTTGGAAAAGAGTAATGAAAGCAAAGAAACAGAAAAAAAACATGCTTTTTAGAAAAGATCTAAGACTTCGATTTTCGAAGAAAAAATAGATCGCCCAAGCCTTTTTGAGTTTCTACAACAACTTTTTATCGACAATTTTGCCAATTAATTAACCCAATTTGAGAAAACTGGATGAATTAGTAAAGATTTTATTTCGCTGGGAAATCTGCTAATTAGGTTCCACTTTCTAAACTAGAAGTTCAGGATGTTTTTTGTGACCGTTGGGGTTTGGTTGTTCGATAGTGGAGTTTGCCTTCTTTTTAACAAACAAAAATTAACTGAACTTTAAAATCACAGAAATCAAAACAAGCAAAAAAGTCGGAGACTTCATAGGTCATCATATTAGAGATAACCATCGGCAACATTTTTTCTTTATCTTAGCTTCGCCGGCAATTAAGATCCAACCACAAAATTTTTCATTAGTAGTATTCAAAAGTAAAATAACATGAAAAAAAAAATAACCTCGCCACAAAATATGGCTTCAACTTTTCTCTCTTTTTTTTTGATACATCATTGCTCTAAAACATCTGAAAACAATTACTTTAAAATCGTAAATTAAATGCATCGTTAACGGAAGCGTATTACTTCCCATTCAATATGCACACATCAATCAATTTAACTGCCATTCCCTTATATCAAGCAAATACACAGCATGAAAAAAAACAGAAAAAAAATCAACACTTATTTCAAAAGAATTTTGGTTGAGTTCAGTTAAGTATACATCAAATGAAATCCATCAAAACGCCGTCTGCATTTCTGATTGTAACTATTCAGTTTGAGTCAGTTCTCTCATCTTGTTGAAACTCTCTTCAAATTGGGATCCCAACTCTGCATTCTTGAATCTCACACACAGTTTCTCGATAGAGCCTTCTGTGTCGTCAGAGAAGTCTGTGGCTGACCAAACGAATGCCTTTCCACTGCTGTTTGGCATCGGAGCCAAAGCCATGTCAGGAAAAATGCTGTGGTTTGCACACAGCTTCAAAATCTGGAAAAAAACAATTACATTCATATGACATGTCAAAACTGTTACTTTTTGAACCGAATTGAACCGAATATATTTTTATTTTTCTGTAAAAGAAATCTTAATTTGTAAAAAAAAATTTTCTTTAAAAGAAAAAAATTCCTTTATTCTAAAGAATAATACTTAGGAAAAAACCGCAACACAAATACAGTTATTTGTAAACCTCGTATTTTTAAACTTCATTTCAAACCTCCAGGGCTACTATTGACTGTGGGTTCAAAACGCCTGATGCAAGAAAAATTCTCAACCAACCAAACCCACAAAAAGAAGGAAAAATTAATCTAGCAATGATAGCACTGGGACGTCGGATCTTAGATAAGTTTATGAGATTGTTCTGTCATTTTTCGTTCATTTTCATTTCAGGTTTATTGGCCTGTTTATATTTCTAGAAAGGCTGTGTTTATTGGCTTTGAATGATTTGTGATGATTATTCTTATTGATAAATTTTGTAAGCTTGAAACAGCTTTTCAATGAATACTGGAATAAAATATTAAGTTTTTGGTATTTAAGAAAGTAGTAAAGGCGACAAAGGCACTCACCGCATCTCGTCGCATAATGACACGACCCACATTCTTCGGAATATACCTCTGCACTTTCAGTTCCCCCACCCCGCGCTCCTTCCACTCCCCATTTTGGAACCTATGAAATATCCACAAACAGTGAGATTACTTTTTTTATAAACAACTACATCGGAGCCAGAGTCACGTCAGGAAAAAAGCTGTGGTTTCCTATAAAAGAGTACCCACTACGTTCATTACTCTTAAAAATTAGTCACAGATTTTTGTTTCAGCGTTTTTCTTCGAGCGCTTAGCGCTTCCTTGAGGACATTTTCGTTCTTTGAGGACAACTGTAATCGACTACGATTAGCTCACTAAACTTCGAAGCTTTTTTCTTTCTTATCATACCGCGCACAAAAAACTGCACAAATTTTTAAAGTTTTTTGTGGTCGACAATTTCAACACACATCAACCAACAGAATGCACAGCAACCAACTACTCTTGCTATGTATTGGTGCTTTATAGTCAATAATTCAATTCATCCTCAAATCAGTTCATATTTAGGCAGAATGAAATAACCTGAAGAGTTTCGCCCTCGCACTAAACACAGTCTCATTGTCATTCTCATCACTGCCAGTCGTCTCAACTTTGCTCAGCTGCACGATTGGTTTGAAGTGAATGTCATTCTCCTCGTTTTCCACATTCCCACTCTCCTCGCCCGGGTTCGAATCCCCCTCGCCACCTGCGGATGAAGTTGCGCCTCCCAGGCTGAGACCAGCGAAGAGAGGCTTCGGAGTAAAACTGCTGGATTTTCCTGAATAAAAGTTTTAACTCGACAATAGTTCCTTCGCGTAGGAAACAACGATGAAAGATTAAATCAAAAACCGTATCATACTATTTGCGCGAAAAAAAACGATAATTTGAACTCAATCCTTCTTACAGTGGAAACTTCCTTTCTGTTTTCATTTTTGAAACACTTTCTCTATTAAAGGTAAAAGAAATATCTTCGGTTAATTGTTTCTCATCCAAGAATAAACATTACTTTACTTGTTCCGAGAGGACACCTTGGAAACACGATACTACTCAACTGCCACGAAAAACTCAATAACTTACCGGGCTGTGTTGCTCCGAAAGCACCGCTTTGCGCAGTTGCACTACTGGCAAGTGATGCAAATGAAAAATCAGACGAGACTTGATTTCCGAACAAAAACCCACTCGTTTTATTTGCATCTAGAGATTTCACGCCTTCTTCATCGTCGCCAGATGTTTTCACATTTTCAGCAACTTTTTCAGATTCTTCACTAGTAACTTTATCGCTGTCTTTATAAATACGCATATTAGTTGTCGCTGGATCATCACCACAGCCAACACATCCAGAGCAGTCGGGTTTGTTAAGCGAGTCGTAAAATAGAGGCGGTAATTTGAACTTTTCCACTAATTCTTTGTTCTCGTCGTTTGGATCCTCAGAACGAGAAAACACGACTTCTATTTCATCTCCTTCATTTTCGCCCAAGTCTTTTTCATTTTCCTCGGTTTCTGTGTTTGCTGTTTCGTTTGTTGCATTTGATGATGAAGCTGGAGGTTCTTTTGGTTTGGCTCCAAATACGGATGATACTTGAGGCGGTGTTCCAGCACTTTGGTTAGGGTCAAATCTAGCCATTGGGGATATGTACTGAGCGGCTGAAATCGCGGCTCCTAATCGATGCCTCGGTGTAGCTAATCAAAAATATATCAGATCACAATTCAATTTATGTTTCGGTGTCTAATAATTCAATCTAGCAGTGTTCACCAAAAGTCTTACCAAAACGTTTGCCAACAATGTCATCCTAACTTATTATGAGACTTTTTCAGAAATATTTTAAACAATTCCAAGCTAAAGCCAATTTGCACGTGAAATCACCCAGAATTCGGCGACACAACTCTCGCATTCGGATTCGAGAAGAAGTATCAATACAAATCAACGACCATAAATCAACGTTCGGCCGAAAGAAGAGTTAATTAACCTCACAGTAGTTTGCTATTGACCTCAGAATTAAAGCTCTAGAAGGTTAAAAATGAATCTTTATTGTTTTAAGCTGTTTTTAAACCACTATAACGGAACTTAGATAAACCAGCACTAATAGAGTATTAATAAAATTCCAAAAAAAGGAGAGATCACAGAAACTGATGTAAAATTGGGGATGTAAGAGAGTTGTAGACCGGGTGTGTTATTGTTTCAATTAAAACACTCATTAGACTTTTTCGGTTCAAATTTTTTGATCAAGGTAAATCTTGTTTACTAAGGACGAACCAGTACAATTTGACGCAATGAAAAAATAACGAAAGTAATAACAACTCTCAACATTGGGTTGCATATCCATCATTTTACAACTGAATGTTTTCTTACATTGTTTCGACCATTGAAAATGAGGAGGCGCTTTGAATTGGGGGTATTTTAGTTTTCCGCTAAATCAGGTACCACAAATAATCATCGGAAGCGCTCGAATGATATATCAAATTAAAGCCCTTTCTGCTGTGTTGGATTCGAACGACATGATTTTAAAAAAAAACTCTCCCACAGTCGAAAAAAAACTGTTTGAAAATTTAATTTTACTCTAATTTAGATTGAGTAACGCGATCGAGTAGAGTCAAGTTCGTTATATGATAATAAGCCATTTGAGCTTTAAAAAAACTGGTTTTGAAAGCTTCATTTATTTCTTCCTTGGAAGTTACAATTTTCTTTTAAACATTTCACAATCATTGTGCAAAAATAAGAACATAGCCAACAGACTGTTGGAAAAAAGTCAAGGAACACAAGTAAACATGAAAAAATGATGACTTGTTTTTTGAAAAATATCATCTTTCTAATTTAGAAGAAAAAAATAAATGCCCTTTAAGCTCTTTGAATTTCTTGAAGAACTTAATTGGACCCAAATTAACCCAATTGGAGAAAACTGGATCAAACGGTCACTTTTATTTGACTGGGAAATCTGAAAATTAAATTCCACTCTCATAACTAAAAGTCGTAAAAATCCTCAAGCAAAGGAAATGAACTGAACTTAAAGAAATGAAAGGTCAAACCGCAAAAAAGTAATTTGGAGCCTGAACAAATTTAGAGACTTTTCCTGGAAAAAAAACAAAATCATCAGCACCTGCATAAGAATCTGAACAACGTTTTTTTTATTCGTTTTTCATGTTTTGTTTGTTAATATTTTTTCGAAAATCTAATTATCCTAATATCGATTATGACTAAATCACTAATTTTCTACGCGTTTGTTAAGCTCTTATCACATGACGCACAAAAAACGACACCAAATTTTAAATCAAAAACTTTTTTTGCAGTTTTCTATGAATGTCGGAAAATTCTGTACTACTTGCACAGCAAATGGGTATCCTTGTTTTATTTTATTTTCTGTTAACATTACATTAGTTAAGTAAAGATTCGCATTAACCGTATGAACCCTTCGAACAAGTTTTGTTGTTTTCAATTGCTTTAAGTATATAACCATAGTCGATTGTGTCGAACCACTAGATTGGAATAAGGAAACGATGCAATTCTCAGCGTATTCAGTGTGTTAAAATCCCAATAATAGCGTAAACTCGCAAACTCCTCAGATCGTTTAGACTGCTGAGATTTTTTATGAAGCTGACAAAAATGAGTTTGTAATACAAGAGCTGAAATACTGACAAATCAAAATGCCTAAAATACAAAAAAAAATAAAACTTCACACCATTAATCATGCAACACAATCATAGGAATGGAAGCTTACAGATAGGAAAAGAAAAACCACAACTACAAAATTTGTCAAAAACACGTCCAGAAACTAAGCCGAAAAAGTTGAATGAACACGATGAACCGAAAACAAAATGTTGTCATGAAAGAAATGAAAATTCTGAAATTCAATATTTTCAAGCCCCCACTTCGGAAACATACATAAAAAAAACCTTCCCTTCAAAGGACGCAAAGTTTAGGAGCTCAGATGTAGTTGGAGGTACATTTTTGATTTTTTAATAATGTTGTTTTGATGTGAGATTTCATGCTTAATTTTCGATACCCAAAACAATAGTCGTTTCCCAACTTAATAAAGGGTTTACCGCTTATTCAGGGGACAATCCTTCTACATGTTTCAATTTATTTCAATGTCAGATTTGGCAGAGTAGTTTTCAAGAAAAAAGGAAGCATTTCCAGCAATCGAAAAATAGACTTTTCCTTAAATGACCCCCACTCTAGAGACTCAAAAGGAACCCCAATCTAGAGACTCTTGATCCTAACCAGATACTGGCCACCCATCACGCGGTTAAACATATGCAATTAAATTGCGATTACTAATGCTATGCAGCAAAAATGCCATCAAAATGAGCGCTAAATTATGCGCGTTAGATGGTAAAACATAGCTAATTGAAAGTTGGAAAAGAGTAATGAACGCAAGAAAACTAAAAAATCTCACTTGCTTTTTCAAAAATCTTCAACTTTTGAATCTCGAGGAAAACAATGGATGGCCTTAAAGCTCTTTGAAATTGTGGCACAATTTATAATGCACATTTTTTTGTTAAAATTAACACAATTTGAGAAACTGGATCAATAGGTAAAACTTTTATTTCTCTGGAAAAGCTGATAATTAAAATTTCCATTTTCGAAATTAGAAGTCGATCACGTTTTTCGTGACCTTTCCAATTTTGCTGTTCGATAGTGGAGGTTGCCTTCCTTTTAACAATCAAAATGCACTTAACTTAGCAAGAAATCACAAGTCAAACCGCAAAAAATTATAATTGAGCGAGATCATATTTTAAGGTTCTATTCCTGAAAAAAAAACCATGGCCAATGAACGATTGGAAAAGAGTAATGAACGCAAGTAAACAGAAAAAAAACACTAACTCCGTTGAAAAAGAGAAAAATAGATACCCTTTAAGCTCTTTGATTTTCTAGAACAATATATGATTGGCGCTTTTTTGATATCATCAACCCAAATTGAAAAAACTGGATCATTGGTAAAGTTTTTATTCCGCTGGAAATCTAAAAAAAATTGTACTTCCGAAGCTAGAAATCGTTCACGTTTTTTGCATGATTTCTACGTTTGTATTTCGAGAGTGCTATTTACGTAACTTTCAGCAGATTAATTTCAATTGAACTCAAAAGTGCATATACATCTAAGTGAATCAAAATTTTAAGACTTTTTCCTGAAAAAAAATCACCAGGACCTATATAGAGTAGTCACTACGTTCATTCCTCTTAAAAAGGTATACTCGCAATATAACACACGGCGGTTCCGAGGTTACTAGATGTAATGAGATACAAAAAATAAGCGTTTTTGGGTAGACTTTTTAATTATTCGATGATAGCAAAAAGAACTTATCGTTCTTATTATAATTTAATCATAACTAGAGCGCTTTCATGTGATAAATTATTGAACGGATCTAAGCTAATATTTAAAAATTAACGTTTCTCGGATCGTCTCTATAGTCATTTGACTTCAAGGTCAGAGCTCCGTGAATCAATATACAAATCTAACATGATTTAAAACGGGTGATCTTGGTGCAAGAGGATTCGAGCATAAGGTTTGCTAAATAGTTCGTGTGAATTGTCGTTCTCAAGCGACTTAACTGCTGTCTTTTTATTAGAATTGCACGTAAGAAAATAGCACGCGATTCGCTTAACATTACTGTACAGGATTCAGCTAACTTGCGGATTTCACATGGGATCCCGTACAGCGATGTTAGGCGAATCAGGTTCTATTTTATCGGGTGCCATTCTAATGAAACTAACAGCAACTTAGACACTTGAAAACGGACCATAGCTGTCTAGTGTCAATCCACAAAGCTATCCTTTAAAGTGTAAATGAGTCATTGATATGTGACAAAATTTATGACTCGGAAACAATTCATTGTTATTCACTATTGCGCTCATTTAATGTTGATTCATACTAACTGATAATCGTATCCAAATCTGTGCACGGGTCTAGGTTCTCTCCTCCCTCCTCCTCCCCTTCATAGGGTTCCTCGTAATCCTCCCCATAACAGTACTCATCCTCCTCATCCAAATACTCCCCCTCCTCTCCCTCTCGATAGTAGTATCTCTCGTCCTCATCCTCGCACTCTTCCTCAAAGGTCACCCCACACTTCTCAGACTCCTCTTTCGTCAGAGCTAAATAGCAAACAATAGCCGTTTAGATATATAAGCTTTTAACAAACTCATAATCATTTTAAAATTTTTTTATTAAAATCTTTTTAAAGATTTTTTTTACGGTTACGTACATTAATTCAGAGCGGACAACAGATAAGAATGTTTATAGGCTATAATTGCACGCATTTTCATTACGAGTTTCAAATGGCATTGTAGCTCTGTTTCGTTTAATTACATTTCAAATTGTTTAATCATCTCGTATTCGCTGCGTCCCGGTATTTTCAACAAAAACCATATAATTGCGAGTTTAATTGCAACACTGAGTACTAAACTGTTCAACATATCAGTTATCTCCGGACAACAAGAAACTAATTGAGTTTCTCCTCCGTTCATCTCTTCAGTTTCACTTCGCTTACCATCCGCAGTTTGCAGCTCCTCGTTCTTCGGTCGATCAAATACTGAGCCCGCAGCGCCCATTGGACCCGCTCCCTTCCCGAAAACCATCCCCGTTGCCGGCTGTGACGACGAAGCCGACTTCCCAAAAATACTCGACGACGCTCCGGCCGCTCCGCTTCCGAAGAGGCTACTTGTTGCTCCCGAAGTCTTGCCGAACACCGAACTAGATCCTAAAGTCGGTTTGGAACTCTCAGTCGTCGAAAAAAGCGAAGCTGTTGTTGTAACTGCTGAGCTTTGTGGCTCTGTATTCTGATTGGTTGAAAAAGTCGGCTGGAACGCAGAAACTCCAAAGACAGGCGCGCTGTTATTATTTGAATTAGATTGCACTCCAAATCCTGCGAACCCTTCAAACAAACCGGTTTGTTTGTCTTTGTCATCTTTGGGAGGGTCGTTTTCGCTGGGTTTTGGATCGGCATTAGTAGCAGAAGGAGTAACTCCAAATTTGAAGCTAGAAGTTTGGCCAGTGGATGCTGCACCAAATTTAAACGCACCTTAAATCAAAAACAACCACATAACTTAAACTCATCTCAATCAATAATTTTACCTGCGCTTCAATTTCATTTGTGAAAAATGAATGACACGAGTGTTTTGAAATAAACTTCAAATATATTTTTAGATAGATTAACGCCAGAAAAGTTTCATCTCGAACATTTCTTGTTTATCAACTCGAACCACTGCTGAATTATTTATATTGTCATCCATAATTTGACAGTTTCCCATGGTGATTTAGTGGAACACAAATTTAATTATCATTTATACCTGAAGAGTTACTTTTCGTAGTATCAAATTTAAACACGGGTCCCTTCGATGCCCCGAACAGGTCCGAACCAGTTCCACCGCCCCCGCCGGGGGCTGTTTTTCCGTCTTTGGGAGTCTCGCATGCTATACATTTGTCAGCATCTGCGTTGTTCTTGAGTAAGCAAGCGTCACAGTTCCACTGTCCTGGCTGAAGTCCAAATTTGGCAGCAAATGAATCTTAACAGAAGTAGACTTTTTGGTACTTATTAAGTGAAATCAACTTTTAAGCGAGGCTAGCATCGGCAGCACATATACAACATTTCTATTGGAAACAACTTCTCAGACATTGGTAGATGTTTTTGATCTTCAGTGTTCTGAAAAGATTGTTCTTAATAAATGCGCCTGTCTTGGATTACTCACGATTTGAAAAGAAGGATAGTGAACAGAGAAGAACTCCATTCACGACTTAAGACGTTAGAAAACATAGCCAACTGACAGTCGGAAAAAAAATGAACGCAAGTAAACAAAAAAACCAAACTTACCGTTCGTTGAAAAAATCGCAACAATTTATGATTGATAACATTAACCCGACTTGAGAAAATTAGATCAATAGGTTAAGATTTTTTCCTCAGGAAAATTAAAAATTAAATTTTATTTTCGAAACTAAAAATTATTCACAATTTTTTGCGCCATTTCCACATGCGTATTTGGAGAGTGCTATTTACGTAACTTACAGCAGATGAATTTCAATTGAACTCACATCTGTAGTTATTAGAGCATTTTAAGAATTTTTCCTAAAATACGAAAAACATCACCAAGACCTATTTGAGAGTCGTCACTGCTTTCATTGCTTTAAGAAAAAGAGATATAAAAATCAACGCTCAATAGTCAACAGACTGATTTTGAAACAGCAAGTGGAATTATTAAGGTAGAAAAATGAACTTCCAGAGCAATGCAAAAAGTCTTTTTAAAGCCTTCAAAAACTCTCCCAACTTCAACTATACACATATAGACAAGTGATAATATTTTGTTTTATATCCTAATGAAGTTTTCGAGACTGTGAGAAAACCGAAAAACAAAGGTTCTGTTGATCATGATGGCATCAATATTAAAATCGCAATTTTTGTGTACAAATAATATCTTGGTACTTGGTCTTCTGCTCTAACCGTTGCCTTAGATTTGATGATTTTCCTAAGAGCTTTTTATTTCAAAAGTACTTACATTTTTGAACAGTAAACTTATGGGTCGAAAACTATTAGGATCTGTCTGTTTTCTAAGTACATTCGGTAAAATTTTTGGAAAAATCAATCAATTGCGAATGATCAACTTCGTCTACATAAAAACTACATCTAAATTTTTAACGTCCGAAACCGTTTGTACAATAACTGCTGTTGAAATATAACGTCATTGCATCGATCCTAAGAAATTAAATTTCGCATGTTTCGTAGATCTTAAGAAGGCTTTTGATACAATTGATCATTCACTTTTACTATCCAAGCTAAATCAAAACGCTTTCATATTGGAACAACCATTTTTTGTACTATCTTATCTACACAACAGAAAACACTAAAAAAATTTCTAGCAAAAATTCTCATAAAAAAATTTAGAGTACCTCGAGAATTTCTTTTGGACCAACTGCTGTTTCGACTTAAATCAATGATATGCCTACGCAAGTAACCAAAAGTAAAAACAGCTTGATTGCTGATGATACTACTGAGGTTTTATCAAGTTTACACAACACCTACCATATCAAACGGTATTTTGGTTTATGGATGTTCATCAAACATTATTAAAAAAAAACTTTTGACGCAAAAGCGATTTTTTCGAACAATTTGTTTATGAGCAGATTTAATCATTGTAGGGCACAAATCTCAGACTTACACAATTCTGAGAAGTATTTTCAGAGAAATTTTATATCAAATTCTTGACAAGTCAGCTTTTAGTTATTAAGACTTTGAAATACAATTTAGTCAAAAAAATTTTCTGCTCGCTTGAAAATTAGCAAAAAGTCTCTTAAACACGCAAATATATATATAAACAAAAAGCAATTTGATCTCTGATAATTTTGAGCTCCTTCAATTATTGTTTGCAGGTTGATGATGTTGTTCTGACTTTTCGTTTCCTCCTCAGCTCAATTTGTTAAGTTCTTGATAATTTGCACCTGTGAGTATGTTTATTTCTGCCGTACTTCAATGTACTCACCAAATAATTTAAACCAAATCAGGGTACAAGCCGAGTCTCTGGATAACTTGGAAAATAACATGTGAAAAGTTGTTACATTAAAAGGCAAAACATCGCAGAATTAAAACAAAAACGAAACAATCAATTGTGCTAGAAAAGAAAAACTAAATTAGATGCGATGCAAATCTTTAGTTGGGATAGATAATACGCCAAAAACAGTGTTGAAACTGTAAATTGTTTTTTTTTCTCGGAAAAAACACAAAGTGATAAAAACAAACTCAGAGAACAAACTCAGTCATTCCATGGTGCTTGCCCTTCTTTAAGGATTTGAAAGATAAAAACTTGCCGATTAAAAATGGTCCAAATTATCTTTCTCAAATTGATTTACCACTAGGCAAGTAGATGGTAAGAACTTAGCTCCATCTACTTTCCCAGTGGTAAATCTATTTGAGAAAAAAATTCGGACCAGTTTTAACCGAGAAGTTTTGATTTTTTTTTGCAAATCCTTATCACGACTGAAAAGGCTTTAATAGGATAAATCACACAACGACGAACAGTGTGTCTTGGTGGAAGCGGATCAACTTAACAAGCTCCCCCCTCCCTTTAAGGGAGGGGGAGATTGTTAAGTAGATTAAAACAGTCGAATTTTCGACCAATCAGAATGCAGCAAAATTAGAATTCGCAACAGAAAGCTCTGTACTAACTTACTGTATTTATTGATAGGGGGAGATTGCTAAGTAGATACCATAGAGGGGGATGTTAAGTAGATCCGTGGTAGCTAATTTTGCGTAGTAAAACACCCTCTGTCAAAGTTCCTTCCCACCTGTAGGGGGGGGGGTTTGATCGAATAAATTATAATCACATTTCACGCTTGCTATTTAACCAACAATGGTTAAGGCAAAGGACATCACACTTGACAGGTTCATACACCATTTAATTTTAAGAAACAATCATTCCACCAGTCACCGCCGAAAAACAATTTGTCATACAAAGTAACGAATAAAAAATACATTTCATGCGAAAAAGTTTTGGCTTTCGGTGCAACATAAGGCAAACGTATATCTCACAAGACTTACACAAATAAAGGAGGACTCTTTCCCATTATAGCCCCTAGCACCCGGTAGAATCCCTCATGCTCGAAAATGTTGACAGCCAATCATAACTCATTATTCATCAATTTCGAAGGAAATGAGCGTGAAATAAGTCACTTTTGGACAGTTTAAGGGACGCTGATTGGTTGAGAATTTTGGCTCATTCAGTACTTCGAGCATCAGAATAGCCCTCCATCCCCCTAGTAGCAAAAAAACATACCCCCACACGTAGCGGATTTAGGGGGGGGGGGGTGGACGCCCCCCTCAGGGATTCGACCCTCTGCCGACCCAAAGGGTCCCCCCTTTGTACTATTTTGAGATATCCAATTTTGGCTGGCTGACCTGAAAACTTTTCTAAAGGCGCCAATCTATACTAATTTTGGTGGGAGTGCGCGTCGAAAAAAGCGATTTTTTGGTCGAAATTTGCGGCGCAAAAAATTTCGTCAAATTAGGGGGTCTTTAATGTGGTTTGGGAGAGCTCAGAAATCAATTTGGTCGACCTGAAAAATTTTCAAAAATTTTTGAAAATCCGATCTCGAGAAATTCCTAGATCCGCGCCTGTCCCACACACTGTGTTTTTCTATTACGCGGGGCTATAACTTACTGGAGGTCCATAATTGAAAAGAGTCAAATAAAGTCCTTATAAAAAAGAGATAACCCTAAATTACCTTGTGTTGGAATGCATTTAGCATCTGCTGGCTTATCGCAAAGACACACAGCACAAAGTATGTCGTTTGACCTGTTCATGACACTGCATATACTGCAGATCCATTCTCTCTTACATGCTGAGAAAGTCAACCTATTTTTGGATCCAAGAGAGGCTGCCAAACGACGAATTGTTTGTTATTCTTACACTGAACTTTTTCAGATTTTTTTATTTTCCGGAGAAACAATTTTTTCTTCTTTTAACAAATATTAATTCTGGCCTTTTAACAAATATTATTTCTGGCAAATCAATGGACGCCTCTCGATCGTTTTTCAGAACTATAACCTAAGCTAACGGATTTTTAATCCATTTTCTCTAAACAAACTGTTATTTTTCTGTAAATTAGAGGTATACTCAAAGTTATTTCCTGAAAAATACATATTGTCTCCCCCTAAATCAACTTGGGGGAAAATTGTACGATTGATCCCAAACAGGTACTACTATGATAGAGTGGTCCCTCGAAAAAGCAACTATGATAGAAAGGTCCCGCATGCATTTCGCATGTTATAATTATGAAAACTTATTTGTGTATAAATTATTCATTTCAAAAATCTTGCAAAATATGTTTAGCCAGAAACTTTTCAGATTGAAACTTGTAATCACTATTGTTTATATATTGAAATCTGCTCGCTTTTCTTTATTTTACGGTTTAACAACTATATAATTGGGTTGACTTATTTGTCATCAAAACCCATTATTGGCGGTTTTTTTTAAAATTTTCAGCCTTAAAATGGTGAGAGGGAGGTTTTAGGAGGTAACAAAACATGAAATTTGTTTGAAAATACACTGCGACATCTTTCTGAAAGGCGTTAAGCATAATTATTAAACGATTTGAGAGCTCTAGGTGTCTTATTCTCAAGGGACCTGGTTATTTTCAAGGGACCACTCTATCATAGTAGTACCCCCAAACATTCTAAAAAGCACCCAAACAAGTACAACTATAACAGACAGCCAGGTCCCTTGAAGTAAATAATTTTATAGCCAGGTCGGTCCCGCATAGACTATTGCAAGTTGCCGATAAATTATGCATGCAACTGCAAAACTTCGGTTACGTAGCGGTAGCAGTATTTAGACAACTACGTATTCATGCTTTTCAAAATTTTACCGCCTGCGCAGAAACTTTGCCCAAAACAGTCTTTGTAGTGCTTTGTGAGAGCTCAAAAAATTAATTTGGCCGACCTAAAAAAAGGTCGACCAAATGTTTGAAATTTTTGGAAAATCCCCCCCCCCCCCCCTCGAGAAAAACCTAGATCCGCCCCTGGGTATTTGTCTGCTTACTGACGAGTATGAATATTCAATCTCTGATATTTAAAAGTACTTATCGATTTATGAAGGGAAGAAAGAAAGTTAGATAGGGTTTCTAAAATATGATATCAAACAAAGTAAATCAAGTGAATTCTTAATTTTTAAGCTTTTGTCGACTTTGCCAAAAACAACGTGCATCGTACGGGAATCGAACCCATGTCAACAGCTTGGAAGGCTGCTATGCTACCACTACACCAACGATGCTTGCTATGCACCGCTGACAAAGAATTCAAAGCTCAACTGCTCCAGTATAGGACAAATAATTACCACGGCTTTACACACAACTGGCCGCTTAATTTCAACATGTCTGTAATTCTTTCTAGTTATGTGTTTGTTCTGAATCCGCACAAATTAAAATCAAGTCAACTTACTTGCTGGTTCTGTATCTATCGGTCCAATATTTTCCACAACAATTTCTTTATTTTTCTCTTCTTGCATCAAATCTTTTTGCGGCTCTTTCGTCTCAACATTTTCGCTGATTTCTTTCGGCTTTTCAACTTCGTCGGTTGTTTTGTCGACATTTTTGTTTTCAGCACTTTTTGGAACCTTTGTTTCCACAGTACTGCAAGCGCCGTTTCTTTGCTTGTAAACTTCAACTCCCTCATCAAAAACTGTCTTGAACTTCTGCGCAATTTCCGGAGTTTTAAACCTCACACAAAGCTGTTCTAATTTTTCTTCCTCTTCCGAAAAGTCATTCGCAATCCAAACTAGCGATTTATTATTACTCGGATGAACTTTGATAGACATTTCATCTGTGATCACGTGATTCGCACATAGTTTTTTAATCTGATCACGTCTCATTACGATTCTGTACTTCAGAGCTGCGCCTTTTTCCGAACACGTTTTCAGAATTTTCATCTCGCCGGTTCCTCTTTCCTTCCATTCGCCCTCCACAAACCTCAGAAGTTTGGCTCGTTCTTCAAAAACTGCTTTTTCAGTTTCCTCTCCTGTTTTAATTTCAACTTTATCTAAATGCACAATCGGTTCAAATTGAGGATCATGAATCGAATCATCCCCTTCTTTATTAGCTCCTGGCGACGCGACGACATTCTTCGGGACACTCGCCGCGGGAACGACGGCCGGTGAATTATTCGGAACGATCTCTGGCTGTTTCTTTTCAGGAGTCGCCGACAGTTTACCAGGTATCGAACTATCAGCATTACCTGCCGCAGGCAAATTGAACTTGAACGAAAACTGCGATGTTCCCGGGACCGACTGCACTCCTGGTTTCACTCCGTTTTCATTTTTGTCTTCTGGTTTTGTCGTTGAGCCAATGATGTTCTTTACAGCGTCATTCGCCGCTTTACTTGGCGACGTACTCAAAGCGTTGCCAAAAGCCGATGTACCCAAACTAGGTTTAGACTGATCTTGAAAAGCCATGTGGTTGACAGGCTGGAACCCTCTGAATCCTGTAAACAACGGAGCTGCTGATTGTCCCGACGAAGATGCGGTGGATGGAGAGAAGACGCTAGCCGGTGTCGCAAAAGATACCACAGGAGCTGACATTTTGAAACTGAACGTCGAGTTACTTGAAGGCGCGGCCGTGGATTTCACTTGCGGGTTGAAACTGAAAGGCGGGGTAGCTCCTGTAGCTGCAGATCCAGCTTGGGTTGGTTTTGGCGCAAAAAGAGATGAAAATTGAGGTGCGGATGTTGTATTCACAGTATCTGGTTTATTAGAAGGCAAGCTCGAAAATAGAGACTTTTTCGAACTTCCAGCTCCCTCTGAATTATCAGCTGGATTCAAGCTTGATCCTACAACAGTAAGAGGATTTGTAGATGTACCCAAATTGGATTGTCCAACAATTTTCCCAGAAGCCAACTTAGGCGTTGAAGTTAAAATATTAGGCGGAGTTCCTAATCTCGATCCCGCATTTGCGATTCCTTTTGAACCTGCTGGAATCGAATCCTGGGTATGCTCCACTGTTGAAGTCAATTTAGGCGGTTGAAATTGTTGGCTTAACTTAAGCTCAACTTGCGAACTGGGGGGTTTGAGCAAAGCCGCCAGTATTGGATTCGAACCGTGACCCTCAGTTTCAGAAACTAGCGAAGACTGTTTCTCGGATACAATTGGTTGTCGAATTACTCGCTGCATCATACTTGGTCCAATGGTACTACCTGATGATGGAAATTGCGCTGGAGGAACCATTCCCATAGACGGAATAGAATGAGTTCCAATGGAACTCCCAGGCGCCACTGGAGATCGAAACTGCATACCCGATGGCGCCGGAGGAACGTCGGCCGCTCCGGGTGGCAAAAATTGCGACATGTGCGGTGGCGGAAACATTACATTAGCAGGTATGTTTTGACCAGGCATCATTTGCATCTGATTGGCTAACATTGAATTTTGGGGTGGAACCAAAATGGGGTGCTGTGAAGGTGGAACCATGACTTGAGATGAGTTCGAAGGTCGGTTCATTTGGGAATTGATTTGGAGCTCGACTAACTTCTTCATTGCTAGATTCATTTCTCGCATACTGTCGTTCCAGTTGTAATGCAGAGTCCTCAGTTCTCCAGTCATGGCTTGTATGTTTGTATTCAGTTCGGAAAGTTCACCAGATACGGAGTCTAACTTAGCAGATATTTCAGAATTCTTTGTTCCTCTGCCACCTAAGGCAAAAATCAGATTAGTATTTCTGTTGCTCTCGAATGACATATTTATTGAAACGAAAGAAAATCGCTGTTTTTCTTGAGAAATTGGTAAAAAAAATTGTCATTTTATTCACGATATATAGAGCTATAAGTCAGAGCTAGTTACTTGAGTATCAACATAAATACAGTTAAGTGTCAACCGGCCGCTATGCAAGTAATTCAGAACTTTCCGACTACAGCAATTAATGCACAAAAACAAAATAATTTTAATTTTCTTCCATGTTGATTAGCAGGGGGTGAATTTTAACATTTTAAAACAAATTGTTAGTCGTTCAAAAAACAAGTTAGGAGGGAATACAGTGAAAATAAGTCTGAGAACCAAAAATTTGGACCCACTTTTTGTTGACACCGAGCAACATTTTTGCTATCAGAATCAATTTTCGGAATTTGACTGAAAAGCGCCTTTTACATGTTTTTGTACTTGAATCTCTACTAGTTTCGAGGCACTTGAAATCTCGTCCAGCCTTGACTCTAGTTCCTTGCCATTACTTGAGATTAGTCAATCCCTAACTGAGCACAAAACCGCTAAAATGCAGAGCTTCAATTGCATAAACAAAGAAAACAACTAACCAAAACTTCCGTCTCCATACCAAGAAGCAGTCGTAGCTGCATTTTGATGATCCAGTTCATCCAGCCTGTCCAATTCAGTCAGTCTGTTGGCCACATTGTTCAGCTGTTTCTGCGCCTCCTTCTTCACCGAGACTGGGAGGTCTCGTCTCTTCAGGATGGAGCTGATCTCACCCATCGAGGTGTTCAGCAGTTCCCTCTGACTGTCTCGGTCTTCAAGGTTGTCATTCATGGACTTGTCGTGTAAAACCTGAAATCAAAAAAGATAATTCAATCAGAGCTCGCTCTTTGAAAACAGTTTGATTTAATTGGTCGGAAATTCTGCCATACGAAACGTCTTTCATGAAAACATTCTGTACCTTTTTATGTCTAGAGACCTATCTTTTTTTAGGGATCTAGCCTACTATTTATCTTTCTTCTTATCTTGTGAGTCTTAGAAACAGGTCGCAAGACGTGATATTCTCCTACCATTTGTTTCAAATAATGTACACGAGTAAATACTATTGTTTGTTTTTCTCAAATCAAGTGGATATTTACTAATGACTGCCAAGAAAAACAGCTCATCTTACTTCTGCTTTCATAATTGCGCTCTGGGGTGATCTCTGCAATGACGAATCTGCTCTCCTCAAACATGTCAAGGATGCGTCTAGATCTCCTTGTGACCTGTACCATGCAGCCACAAACAGGGACCCTTCATCACACAGTTTAGCCGCATCTTGTTCTCTGAGGGTAGGCAGAACGGATACTGGAAACAGTTTGTTGTTTCGCTCTTGCTCCACATCCATGATATTAGACTGACCTCTGAAAGAGAACAACGTCACATAAAATTCCTACTTTCAATTTGGTTTAAAATTACATTAAAACAAAAGGATATCTTAAAACATAGCCAACGGACAGTTGCGCCATGAACGCAAAGAAAACAGTTAAAATACTGAATTGTTTTTAAAAAAAAACTTTCAAGTTTCAAAGAAGACATAGATAGCCTTAAAGTTCTTTGAATTTTAAGAACCATTTATGATACACTTTTTTGATATAATTAATCCAATATCAGAAAACTAGATCAATAAGTAATTTTTTTATTTCGCTAGGAAATCTGAAAATTTAATTCCAATTTCGAAGTTAGAAGTCGATCACGTTTTTCGTAACTTTTACTTTTTTTGCTGTTCGATAGTTGAGCTTGCCTTTCTTTCAATAAAGGAAATGAAATGACTTTAAACAGGCATCAAATTTTAGACTTTACTGAAAAAAATATCACCAAGACCTATATTAGAGTATTCACAAGATTCATGGTTCTTAATAAAAGTTAAACAATTTGTTGTTGTTCAGACTTCGTATGCACTAACAAAAAAAAGACTATTGAAAAAATCTCTTTTTGGAAAAACATCATCCACTGAGTTTAAAGTCTGTAAGAAATAGTCCAATAAAAACAGTCCTGTACCAAATAGCCCGTAAAAATATATCCAAGTCCAAAAAAAACAGTTCCATACAAAACAGTCCCGAAAATAGTCCACAAATCAGTCCCAATGATAGAAGTGATAACTGTTCCTTGAATTGATAAAAAAAATTGGCACGGATCAAAAACTTATTGGTTCTAATTAATCTGAATGATATTGGTAGTTTAGCAGAGAATATAGAACTAACTAGATACCAGCAGCGTCTACTCATCAAAAGCAATAATCTGCGAAACAAAAGTTAACAACTAAAAAAATTGACTCTTTGTTGAATCCAGTCAAAAACATACAGATTACTCAAGTCGTTTCATTTGCGAACATTTGGCATGGCACCACTCAACCGAACACAATTAACTTACTATCAAAGGAAACGATACTTACTAACAAAAACTCCCAGTTACTAATTTTTGAAGGATATGCATTACACTGTCAAGCAACTCTCTTTCCTGGCGCTGTACACAAAGCAGATGTGTGCAATGGAGGTGTGAGTACAAAAGAGGACTCCATCGAGATAGTTAAAGATGACTGCACTTCCCCGATCCGGCTGACATCGAAAAACAAAAAGTGAGGAAAAATCTTATGGATCGAGCAGCAGTTTTGGATGAAACAACACGGCAGACTATTTTTGCAGCCCAGCGTGATGTTAAACGAGAAACAGCTGTTCCAACCAACAAGCTAAAAATAGAGTTCGTAGCAAAAAAATAACATTGATGGCAGAGCCAATTTCGCTGACTGGCTCTGAACTTCCTCTGGCCCTACAGAAAACTCACGACGGGGAGCAGTTTCTTTTACACGACTTTGGTCCCCAAGATGAAGATCGGGTTATCGTTTTCCCCACTTTACCTGGGCTAGACATACTTTGACTATCAGATGATTGGTTCTGCTATGGAATGTTTTCGACTGCTACGAACGTATTTTGCCAAACTTATATAATACACACTTCAGTTGAAGGATATCGCGTTCCTCTCGTTTACGCTCTCTTTTCCGACAACAAGGAATCAATTTATTGTCGCCTCTTCAAGGTTCTAAAAGTCGAGTACCCAAAACGCAAGATTGGAACAGCAATTTTGATAACTAGTCAACAGCAAGCACCCTTCCTTTCCGAAACTCATCGAGAAATTCATTCAAGGATGAACAAAAAAACTTAAAACGTGAAGAACAAAAGAAAGAAAATGAAAAACAGGCGCCGGACAAAAAGTAGCCAGACTCAAGATTCCATAACAAAAACACAACAAAACTTAATGACTATGATTAGGTCATATCAACCCAATGATATCATTGGGTTTCTGAGGGGTAAGTTATAATATCGAACTATAAACCTTAAATCATTTGGTTTCCCTTTTTAAAAATCATTCAGCAAAGCCAAGCAATAAAATCTTTTCAAGTTTAATTATTTTCCTAGATTTTCCAAAAATGAGCAAGAGTCCAATTGAAACCGGCAAAAAATTGGATACAAAAAGGTGATGAGTTTCCTTTCCCCCTCACATACTCTTTGCGTTTGAGCCCAATTTTGTACCCTAGATATACCCGTTTCATATTTACCCAAATTTCAACTTTTTTTCAAAAATTGGGAAAATATTTTGTGCCGCCGGGGATTCGATCTTTTGATCTCTAGAGATTGAGTTGCACTCTTCAAAAACTATACCGTGAGGCCTTTGATTTTGATCTGAGTTATTGTTAATATTTTTGGTTCTTCCATCTTAAATTACGCTCTTTTTGATGTTTCAAAGCGTAAATCAACTCTGTGGGCGTTAAAAGATCAAGGTCAAAAATTCAAGCTAATATGCATGGAACTGTTTTTTAAGATTTTTTTTAATGTTTCGGACTGTTTCGTATGGGACTACATTGTATATGCACCCTTGAACCATTCTGAGTTTTGAACAAATTTTTATGATTGATAGAGGATCAATAAATAGTTTTTAAATTCCGAGACACCTTGAATCAAAATCAACTTTCAAATCTTAAATTAAGTTTTTCAATTTTTTTCCGCCATTTGTACTTTTCTTGTCTGTAAACGGAATTGTATTTCCTCTAGCTATTGAATTTGTATTGAACTTGAAAAAAAAAACGTATGACTTGTTAAAAAACCTCAAAATTCACACGAACTAAATAAGTGCCTTCACTTTGTTCAATGAAGCTTAATCAAAATCATTTAAGTAAACATCTGATCTAGTAACGCTTCAATGAGACCGAATATCTTGCCTCAGTTGGAATGATTTCTTAGCCATATGAATTCGCGACTCACGTGTTAAAAAACAGGCTCTTTTCCACTTCCCCCACATTTGAAAATCAATTATGAAAAACCATTTTAACGTTGCCATAATATAATGCAATGAAGCAACTAAGAAAATGAAAAATTTGAAATGTGGGATGGGGAGTGGAAGAGCCATTGAACAAAATTTACCGCACTTAAGTTATATCAAAGTGAATATCTTCGAACCATTACAACTATACAAAAAAAAGTGCAGCCTAAAAATTCATTTTTTTTCGCTCACCGTGTTAATATTTTGCGATGGTAAATTCCTGAAAGCGGCTAGTTACATTAGCCTATATTAAAAGTGGAGTAACTCAACTTACCATTTGACGAAACCAAAAAACTATGCCGCAAGACACTGTGTGATTTTCAGACCGGGAGCACTGTAAAAAAATGCTAGTGCTCCTCAGAAACTTCTCGGGCGAGAAATGTGAAGCAATTAGCCTAATTGTTGGGATAAACTTATTAAATAGTTTCAGAGGCAGTAAATGATCATGACTGATACCCAACCTGACAATATCCCTAATGCTGATGCTGATTCAAACAACATATTGCAAATACATACTGAAGCTGAAACCAATACCGAAGATATTCCCGCACTAAGGTACCAAGGTATGACGCCCATCCCAAAGTCATGCAGTAAACGGGGATGTGCGGTGCTGAGCCCCATAGAACAGGAGACAACTGCTGATAACAACCTAGTGCAATTAATCCAAACCACCATCAAAACATCAATCAACGAAATTATCCCAATAATGTTTGGAAACCTGAAAAATGAGATGAAAGAGCTGATGAAGACTATGGTCACGGATGCTACGGAAGACATGAAGAAACAAATTCTCTCCGAAGTTAAAGCTCAATTATCGGCGCAAGAAGCACGCTGCTACCTCAAAAGTCTGTCAGAAGCTGAGATGGTGGAAAGCTACACTCGAAGAGAAAATATCCGGATTATCGGTGTAGCGAGCGATACCGGAACGCAAGAATCCAATGAAGAGACAGCAAACAAAGTGATAAAAATTGCAAATGAAATCGGTTCAAGCGTCAACAAGCAAGACATATCTGTTGCTCATCGCCTGCCGGGTCGGGGCACCACAAAGCCAATAATTGTTCGTTTTTGTCGCAGAACAGCTAAAATAGATATATTGAAGAAGAAACGCCAGCTAAATGAGACTGAGGGCATGAAAGAGGTGAAAATATTCGAAGATCTTACCAAGGCGAGACTCAACTTTCTAAAATCGATGAAAACAGATGAGCGCATCGCTTCCGCTTGGTCCAGAGAGGGCAATATATATTCTTCCAGTACAGAAATGACAACTATACAAATAAAATTACTGGGCTCTATGAGGGTGGTCACACACTTGGTTACTATTATAATGTTATAAATTGCTTCACTGGTGTTTTCAACCAACCGGAGGCCCCCTCCGGAACCTACATTTTCTGTGCTACATATAAATGTTCGCTCTTTGAAAGGTCATCTTAACGAATTGGAAGCACTAGTATATAGTCTTGAGTCTCCTCCCCCCCATTCTATGCCTATCAGAAACGTGGCTAACAGAAAATGATGATAATAAATGCTATCTCATTGATGGTTACAATAAGTTTGCAACATGCAACCGTAAAACTCGCGGAGGCGGAGTAATGATACAAATACGCAAAGATTTCAAGCTTATAAAACAAATCAGCACAACCCTCGAGGAATGCATTCTAGTGGTTATTGAAAAAGATAACTACCAATTCAAAGTAGCAGTAATCTACAACCCACCTAGAATTAACAAACTACGGTTCATAGATACATTCGAGAATTTTTTAGAAGAAAACTATTCGCCATCAACTCCTTTTATAATCTGTGGCGACATTAACATTGACATATCAAAGATTAATCAACTATCGAACAATTACATGAACTGTATTTTTGCAAATGGATTCGAACTAGGTGATACAAAAGCAACAAGAGTTACTCAAACATCAAACACTTGTCTAGATCATTTCATTTATCAAAACCTGAATGAAGCCTATCAACACACTTTAGAATACCAAAATTTCTCTGATCATTTTCCTGTCCTCTTGCAATGGACTCCACCTAGTTTAAAAAATGAAAAAACTCAGACTTTTCGTGACCTTAATTTTGTCAAAGATAAAGATAAATCCAATACGTACATAAACTCATTGCAAATTGAACTGAATGAAAAAGAGTTAGAAATCTGCAATATTGCAGATCCATCAGCAGCATTTAACATTTTTTCTGCGGTTTTTAATAACGTTTCCACAAATTTTGCACCCATGCGGGAAAACACAATTACTGATTTAAAAAAGCCGAAATGGTTCAACAACAAGTTGAAAAATTTAAGAACCAAAAGAAACAGAGCACATCGTTCATGGAAATGTCAACCAAATAATTCCAATTTATTGGAAAATTTCAAGAACTTAAGATTTAAGCTAGAAAAAGAAATTAAAAGGGCAAAACGGAAGTTTTACCGTAACAAATTCTCTGCATGTATTGGGGACTCAAGACAAACATATAAATTACTCAATGATTTAAGTGGTAAAAATATATATGATGCAAACAATACTAGAGTCATGTCAGCAGCACTCCTTTTGATGTTGCTGAACGATTTAATGTTTTTTTCTCCGAAATTGGCACTCAACTTAAAAAAGACATGAACTGTCTACCATTACCACCTCTTAAACAAGTGGGACACTCAATGTTTCTTTATCAGGTTACTGAACTTGAAGTAGAACAAATAATTAACAAACTTGATAATAAATCGTCGTCGGGTGATGACAATATTAATAACATTTTAGTTAAATTGTCGGTTATCTGCTACCGTTCCGTACTTAACCCTGTTAATAAATAAATCCTTCAGCCAAGGCATTTTTCCTGATAAATTAAAAAGAGCAAAAGTCATACCCATGCATAAAAGTGGTTCCAGAGTTGATGAGAATAATTACCGACCAATATCGCTTTTAATTGTCTGGAGTAAAATATTTGAAAGAGCCATGTACACTCGTATTTACAATTATCTTGAAAAATTCTCTTTTATTTATAGTAGACAATTTGGGTTTCGGTCAAAGCATAGTACAATAGACGCACTCGTTGATTTTACTGAAAAAATGCGGTCATGTGGTAATCAAAATGTTGTTACTTTCTTTTTTGATTTGAAAAAAGCATTTGATACAATTGAACATTCTCTTTTATTACAGAAGTTAGAGTCCTATGGAATCAGAGAAATTACTTATGATTGGTTTGAATCGTATTTAAAGAACAGAAAACAACGTATAGAAATAAATGGCGTCTCTTCAAACTGGTCTTCTATAAAAAGCGGTGTTCCTCGAGGATCAATTTTGGGTCCCTTACTCTTTCTTATATATATAAATGACCTTCCTCATGTTTGCAAATCATCTGAAGTTGTCCTCTTTGCAGACGACACCAATGTCACTGCTTTAGGACAAGTAAATGTTGCAATTGAAAATGACATCTCTTACTTGAACTAGTGGCTAAATGCCAATAAATTAGTTATTAATATGGATAAAACAGTACAATTGAATATTAAGACTTCCAATTCAATGACCTTTCAATTAAACAGCTGTGCTATTAAATTTGAACCTGTTTGTAAATACCTAGGGATATATGTAGACTCAAAATTATCCTTCTTTTCGCAAATTGATTATGTAAGAATGCGATTAGCGAAACAGTCAAGCATTATTTCAAAATTACGGTATTTTGCTCCACGTCATCAGCTTTTAGACTACTATCGAACTAACATTAAATCAACTATCCAATACGGTATTCTTTTTTACGGTTGTTGCAGCTACTCTTCTTTAATGCCGATTTACATACTTCAAAGAAAGATCTTAAAATTGATTTACTTCCGAAATCGTCGCGAACAATCGGATGACATTTTTATTAGAAATCAACTGCTAACCGTGCACGAGCTTCATGTGTATGAATTACTAAAATTTGTACTCCGATCAGTAAACAAACTACACAGTGAGGATTTTTTGAATAATGTGTTTGAATTCGAAAATCCCACTAAAGTAACGCGTAGGGCTAATTTAAACCTCCTTAAAGAATCATTTAGAAAAAAACGATTTGAACGGCAATCAATTGCCTATCGGGGGTCTAGGCTTTACAACGTATTGAAAACTAGAGGCTTACTCGAAGATGGGATAGAAAATGCAAAAATTACAAGTTTTTATCATAAATTTAAGAATGGATACCTGCTAGGTAACAACGAGCTGGCAACTTTAGTTTTCAGTTTTTAATTTTTGTGTAATTTCAGTACCTTGGTTAAATGCTACAGGACAATCAACTATAGGTTGCGATTTATGTGAAAAAATATGACCCTCCAGAACCTTTTAGTTTAGGAGATATGGCCCTTTTTATGATTTTTTGAATTTTTTCTCAATAATTATTTTCCCGAAAACTTAGAAAATTTTCTTCATTTTTTTTTGTTTTTTGAAGCGACGTGTTCCCATGCCGGAGCATCAGCTGAACTGCTATAGGTAGCGCTATGAAGAACAATATGTTTTCAATTAGGTAAAAATCAAAATCACGTATTTTTTGTTTTTTGTTAATTTTCTTTCTTTTGTTTGATGTTAAATTCAGTATGTGTGCTATATAAGGGCAACATTTATGTGGACCAATGGTCTCGTTAGTTGTCCATTCCGATGATAAATGCATTGATGAAATTACTTTTGTTTTGCTAATGACTATATTTATCAATCGGAAAAATAAATTCTTTCTTTCTTTCTTTCTTTAACAGTTTGTAACAGGCGAAAATTCCAGTACTCTAATTTCACTGACTCACACGCACTGCACCACTCGTGCCGAATACAAGCGCAGCGGAGCAAGCTTCAGTACTAGCTAGTACCGCACTTAGAAACAAATTAACTTCTCATTTTTCGTTCATTATCGTCTTTGTCACGAATGTTTCCTTTTAAGAATTATAGCTTGTTATGAATTGTCGACCACACGAAAAAAAAATCTAACAACATTGCAAGCTCAAAATGAAAAAATCAGCCGCATAAGACCGTGGTCATCTTTACAACTCGTGTTCTGTTGTTCCCTCTTGCAGACAAAATGCATTTATCTAATTGAACGACTGCTACCTGGTGATGTTTTTGATGGTCGGCAACACCTTTTCCCAGTAGTGTACACTCCTCTGCCTGTAGATATCCGACCAAGCACTGTCTTCAGAAATCTCACTCTAAAAACAACATTTTAATGAAAAAAAAGGTTCTATGCTCAATTAGTTATGCGGATTGTTAGAACTTTTCATTGAGAGTAATTTGAGAAACATCTATGAATGAAAAAATGAAAAAAATGTAAATTTTCATCTATTTCTACTTCATTCTGGTTGCATTTTAACCTAAGCAATCATTGTTCGATTAGCCAGCTATCATTGTAACCAGTAGCGAATTTAATGGAGGGGCAAACGCCCCCCCCCCCCCCCCCCCCCCCCTCAGGGATTCGACCCCCTGCCGACCCAAAGGGTCCCCCTCTGTACTATTTTGAGATACCCATTTTTGGGTGACTGCCCTTAAATTTTTTTAAAGGCGTCAATCTATACTAATTTTGAGTTGGAAGCGCGCGCCAAAAAAACGCGATTTCTGGTCAAAATTTTCCAAAAAAAAAAGCTTAAAAACGCTATTTTTGGCCTGTTTTTCAAAATTTTGCCTGCGGCGCAGAAATTTTGGCCAAAATCATTTTGGTCGACCTAAAAACTTTATAACTCACAAGTTTCTGGAAACTCTTAGCCAACGAAACCAAAACAGCAGTCGGCATTCCAGGCACCACTCCTCGAATCAGTTGCAGAGATTGAATCACGTTTCGCCCCTTATTAGGAGTGCCCCCGCCTGATGCCACCGATGTCGATTTCTCTCCCGACGATCTTCCCTCCACTCCTAAGAGACTGCGCCAGAAATGTGACTGTTCTTGAGTTGCGACTGAGCACAGAAGAGGCAGCGATGGCAAGAAAGGGCTGAGTTTATTGTAGTACTTAACATGTTCGCCTACCCAGAAGCTTGTTGCCAGTGCAAAGGCCTGAAAAGATTGAACCGAAGGTTAAGTGGAGATTGACTTCGTCTCAGAATCAATTGGCTGCTGGTTCCAACCCCACCTTGATACGTACTTTTTGCTTGGTACGCAGCGCATTGGAAACATATGCCTTCGTGGACAAATTACAAAAAAAAAGTTTGCTGATCTTTTAGCCCGAGAGTCAACTAAATTTTGATGCAGTAAAAAATCATGCTATCTGAGACACTATTCAATTCGTTCTAGAAAACCCAAAAATCTTACACAAACTAAGAAATATTCTACAAAAAGTCTTCAATACAGTCATACTAACAAAACCGTACCTGCAGATCAAGATTTGAAACTCTGTTTGCGTTTAGCTCCACACTTAACGGCAACTTGTCGCTCATCATCCACTTCAAACTCTCACTTCCCAAATTTCTCTGGCCAGGGAAACCAGATCTGCTCAGAAGTATCCAAGAAACCCCTTCCACACTTTCACAAGTCTGTTTGAAAAACTCTTTCACGTAGAGGTCATTAGAGGTCAAGTTATACGTGTGATCTATTTCGTTCAAGTTCGGGTAAAAGGGTTCCAACAAATGCAAAAATGAAGCCAAAAACGAGCTGCTTGTCTGCGAATTTGCCGAGTAAACTGTATTCAGAAGTTGGTCTCTAACAGCTCCTAGTTTACAACTACTCATCGTTGACGAATCTAGTTTGCGTTCAGTTTTGACTGCGTTCCAAATGTGACTTAAAAACGTCATTCGTTCACAGCCAAGAGCTGACCAAATAGTTCTCGGTTTCAGGTCGAAATGAGCCGAAGAGCTTACTGAAGTTCCTTCTGAATTGAAACTGAAGCTATTGGGAACCCAGTAAAGACTCAATTTATGTGGTTGCAACGACAGTCCAGTTTTACATAAACTGACGAGTAGCATATCTACAGATGCAAGTGAAAACGTTTTCTGAAGAAGAATCTTGTTTATGATTAAGGCAACTGCTGTCAAAAGACAGGCCGACATCTCCTTCGCACAGCAAGCTAGCTCGGAAGAATCGTCTAATTTGTTGACTCCGTAGCCAGATACAAATCGAAACAGACCTCTGTCAAATCTGAAAACAAAAAGCATGATATTTCTTCGGTTTAGAATTCAGATTCCTGGAAAATGCAAACGTGTACACAATAATTCCAAGAAAAGTATAAATTTTTGAATTTTTCTGAACATAATTACAGAAAAAGTACTATCAAGCCTTTCAACTTGGATCTAATTTTCTAGAGCCATTTTAAAATCTTGCTAGATAACTTTAATCTTCCGCAAAAATCCAATGAAAAGCGTGGCGCAGTAATGTGAGAGCAGACGTTACTTTTGAATGAGGAGCTTGGTAGAGTTGAGAGGTGCGGTTGCAGCTGTGAGCAGAATCTGACGGTAGTAGGTGACTAGAATCATGAAGTTTCCTATCTTCTCCCGCTCTGAATTGGGAGATGTGGCCATGAAGTTCTCTAACACAACCTGATAACGACATTTAATCAAAGGTTTTTCTTATCAAATATAATTTAAAAAATAATCAAAGGTTTTTCAAGTGATAACGAACAAGTTTATACAAAGAGGCCTATGGGAGTTTCGCAAAACTTGCAATACAACGCAAAGATAGCATAACAATATAGAGGGCAGAAAATGAGAATTCATTAGGCCAAAAAATTATTTTTAACTATATCGAAACTACATCCACAAAAACATGCGTTTGTCTCGCGTCTCGTTTAAAATTCAATTTGAGGAAAATCATACGAGAATCAAAATCACAAGCAAAAGTTCTTGAAAAGACGCCCGTTGAGCCGAAAACAAACCCGTCATCAGCAAAAAATTTATATTTAACCTCGCATATCCTCTGCCACTGAAGGGACCTATTGAACAGTCCGAACTTCTCGACTACATGTTCGAATGCCTGTCGGGTTTGGCCCGAGTTGACAAGTTCGTTCAGCAGTTGGCACTGCGCTTCAACGTCATTTCCACACTGGACCGCCTTCTGTTTCAACAGAGTTAGATGGTTGCCAGATTTGCGACTGTTCACGAGGTCACGGATGTCACTCAACTGAAAAAAAAAATGTATTTAACTGAACTTTTTCTAATTTTCGAGAAAAATTAGAATCTTTCAACACAGATGCGAAGCAGATCTTCACCCCAATTTCGATATGTCAAAAAATAGAATGGCGGCTAGCCGAAAAAAAAAGGTCAAAAGCCACTGATTCGAAAAAAAAAGATATTAAAAAAATTTATATAGTTTTTTTTTCTATTTGTCTCGAGGGTAGTTGATTTCGAAAAAAAGATACTGAAAAACACAATTGCCAGTGAAAATTAACTAAACGGTAACCGAGCAGACACCACTTGGGTAAACAAATGACCCGAAAAAAATTGCTATAAAAGATTTTGAGCTATAAAAATCTTAAACTCCCGTTTTTCACACCCCCGTAAAAAAGAGCACAAATGCAATACAAAATAGTTTTACCCTTCAAAGGACAAATTATGAGGCAAATAAACAGATATATCATCAGCCGAACCCATTTAAGCTGAAGAAAACAAGAAAAAATAATGAAAACAATCAGCGAAAAAAGAAAAAAAATTTTTGAAGAGTTTTTTTGAAACCGACAACAAACATTCGCATAAAACGGCCATTTAAAATGCACACATACTCAACAAAATTGTTTCCAGCCATTCCATCAAAAATGATATCAAAAATGCCAATGGATTCAACCAATTTTTTTCAATTAGTTGTTAACCCGAGAAAATCTATACTCCAATTTCAGAACGCTTGCTAATCACATGCGTAAACATCTATTTAGGTCTACACAGAGGCCAAGCGGAGCTTCTCATCAACTCAGATACCACAAAAATAGCATTGCAAGCTAGCAGTCAGGAAAAGAGAGCCACAAAATCCAAAGAAAACTAAACTTTCGAAGAAAACACAACTAAAAAGTTTCAAAATATTCTCTGGAATGATGTTCTAGCTGAGGAAAACACGTCCAGAAACACAATCGACGGCGTTTAATGAAAAGAGTTCCGGAAGAAAGCCTACAAATTATGGTTCCCTCGAAAAACCCAAAAATAGGTAGTAAGTCAATCAAACATAAGGCGAAATACTTCAGGCCAAAAAATTTTTTAAGCGAAAAAGGGAAAAGAAACGAAATAAAGGTTAGAAGAATTACAAAATGCAGGAGTAAATGAAAACATAAAAAGCAACAACAATGAAAACAGCAAAAAGATTCCAAGATGTGGCAACTAAGCCGACAAAACATAAGCAGACAAATAATAAGCGGATAATTTTTTGAAACGGAGATTTTTCCCGGTTAAAAACAAAAACTGGCCCTGGTGATATTCGAACCCAGGACCTTTGCCGTCCCAGGCGCATTCGTTGACTCCAGACTAAAGGTGCAGGAGACACTTAGAAATTTGAATTAATTATAAACCAAGATACCAAGTGATTCTGTTAAACAAGTTGTTAGCCCAAAAAGTCTATATTCCGATTTGATAACGCTTTCTAATCGCAAGCGTATAAAAAAGATTATGAACGTTTGAATGGTACTAAATTTTTTCTAAAAAAAACTATCTGAAAGCTAATGACTACTAATTTATAACTACTATTTTCAACAACAAATAACAGTCTACCTTTCCTTCGCAAGGGTATCTCTTTTCAATCTCCTTCATCCACTTTTCGGCCTGCTCAACCGGGTTGAATTTTGCAGTCAAAAATGCCACCTTCAGCAACGCATCTTTACAGTCTGGATGCAGTCTCAGTACATCCTTATACGTGTGAAGAGCGTCTTGTTCACATCCTTCGGCTAATTCAATGTCGGCTAGTAGTTTGTGAGCTCGCCAATCGGAGTTTCCGATGGACTGGAGGAATGCGTTCACGTGCGATTTGGCGTCATCGTAACAATGAGCTTCAAAGTAGAGACGCGCTAAATTGTAAGAGTGCTTCCCGTCCTAAAATACAAGGAAACATTCAGTGAGGATCCCTAGAAAGAACTCATATCCCTCATAGTCCAATGCCCAAAAATCATGCAATTCTACCACCTACTAGAATTTTGACGAAATTAAGCGCGCAAACCATTCTTCTTGAATTGAAACTTTTTGGCCAACGTGACAAAATAGTTTCTGCGAATATTTTTTTATCGATACAGATCCAATTAACTTGCTTTTCATAATTTTTTGTTATCATCGTTTCATTTACAATTTTCCACTTATGATTAATTGAGCACAAAGGTGAAACGGAGTGATATAAAAAAAACATAAAAATCAAATGAAGTTGAAAAAAATGGAATTTATTGAAAAAAAAAAACTTGAATTTATTGAAAAAAAGAACCAAAATGTTCGTATGTCTCATTAAAAGAAAAAATTAGGGGCACAGCTAAAGCTGGAGGTAGCTGCTTCATATTTTTGAAATTTTTTATACTGATGCAATTAGGGATGCGTTATTTCAAAAATTGGACTTCGCCCGATGTCCTAGTTTCTTGATTGAAAATTCAACCTAAGAATTGACAGGGCAGGTTTTCGAGAAAAGTCGAAAAGTTTCAGAAAAAAGCTCGATAAATCAAAATTTTGACTTTTCCAGAATCATAGCTTTTTGTATGAGTAGTTTTGGGCCTAGCCACTTATGCAGAAAAATTCACACAACCTGTTATTTCGATTAAACAAACATTCAGATTTGGGAGGGTAGTTTTCGAGAATCGAGAGAAGTCAAAATAGTTTCAAAAAAGGCAAAAAAAAACAAACATCGAACTTTCCAAGACCCATAATTTTTAGCGTCAAATAGGGGAGCTTACCACAAACAGTTCCGGGATTTAACACAAAAACTCAGAATTTCGAGAAAAGTTAAAAATCAGAGCTGACTATTCCAAGGGCCATATCTTTTTGAGTAGAAAAATGGGCGTAGTCGATTATGCAGGAGAGTTTCCACCAAACCATTATTTTGATTGAGCCCCAAACCTCAGAATTGGGAGGGTAGATTTTGCGAAAACTAAAAAAACCTTAAAACGGTCAAAAATCAAAAAATTTGGGCGTAGCTGAATGCAGGGGAGCTTTTCACAAACCATTCTATGGATTGAACCCACAATATCAGATTTTGGCTTGTAGTTTTCGAGAAAAGTCAAAAATAATTAAATTTGACTATTCCGAGGGCCATAACTTTGTTTAAATAAATTGGTCGTGGCAAGTTAAGAAGGGAGTTTCCCAAAAAAAGAGAAAATGAAGAAAATCCAAAAATATGGGTCAAATATTTCCCCCACACACCTTTTCGAAAGCTGTAGACAGTGTGGTAAAGAGACTGAAAAATGTTTTGCAGGCAAACAGTCGGCGGGAGTAGGCGGCCTTCCCATTAATACCGCTGTCTTGAAAATCGGTGGATCCATTTTCAAGAAAATCGAAAACGTCTCAAAAAATATTTAGAAAAATTAAAAACCCAATCCCATACATTTCGATAAAACCTGTTTACATCAAACAGGAACTCTAATTTACCATGCCAAGCAGGATATTTGAATTTTAAATTAGCAACGCAACAAAAAGTAACGAGCGGAAACAATCCCGACAATTTTTCGAGCAGACACCAGTTGAACAAAAAATTGACGTTTTTTCTGCCCCGGAAACTAATGATCAAGACTTGCAACTACCATGATACTTGCTTACAGTACAAGAGAAATCTGGGCACCTAAGCCGAAAAAACGACGAAACTGGGTAGACAAACGAAAGTCCGACAATTCAATTTTTACCGGAAAAACATTTCAATTTCATATATACTGAAAGAAGAACAAGGTCCGGCCGTGACTAAAATCCCCAGACCTTAGGGTACAACACGACTGCGTTATCTCGAGACCAAGTGGGAAGCAGTCTCGAAGTTGCAGACGCTCACTTATAAAGCAACTTCAGTTTCTTGTAAGAAAAGTTGTTTATGGAAAAAAGTCTAATTCCCGATTACAAGACACTAGACACTTGCTCTCCCAAGTGTAATGAAAGAAATTTATTCGAAGTCTAAAGAAACGTTTGTCACGTTTGAAGAAACGTCTATTAAAGGCACGATTACACCACTCTGAAACTACCCTTAGTATTACACAGGGGCGAAATTGCACATCGCATCAAAAAGCAAAAATAGGACCGATAACGCTACTGGGAAAAAATTGAATGAGTAAAACTTTGAGTCTACATAATTTCTTAAGTGACGCACGCCAACTATGAGTCTACATAATTGCTAAGTGATGCAAGCCAAATATGACGCATTAGCAGCACCAGTCATTTTGAAAAAAAAACTAACATGCCTCAAATTATAGAGCGGACGCATTTTAACTAGTATATGAAAAAGTTCATTTAAAACATCTCACCCTACCCTGCTTCAAATCCTCTTATTTCGTTATGAATCTCCTTCTCTACCTATACGCTACAGATCTATAACTTGAAACTAAAGTGCTATTTGTAATACAATAGTCCGTGTTAATATCCTTAGCAATGGCTGTTCTTAATAGCTGGTTATTGATCTTATGCACATACTGCAAAAACAGAACACTTTCAAAATGTACACTAATATTTGCGACTTAGGTTGGAAAAAGGGAGAATTCATTCTATCTCACAAGCTTTGCATATAAACTGATTCACAGAAACTTTCCGAAAATCTGAAATTTATTGCGAAAATTTCAAGAGGAAGTCTCATAGAAAACTGCCGTATTAAGAAAGATGTCTTGCAGTCAAGTAATCTTCGTGCAAAGACGTTTCAGTGTTGTCAATTTGATCTGTCTTTGAATATAAATGGCACATAAGATAGAAATAGCCTGCTTACAGATTTTTTACGCCTGGACAAGAGATCGTTTTGACTCAGAGGCGAAGCGGAGCTTCGCATCACTTGCAATACCGCAAAAATAGCATAGCAAGCAAGCAGACAGGAAAGGAAACAACAAAATCCAAAGAAAACGGAAAAATTTTCGGAAAAACCACAAAAACAAAATTCTAAAAATTGTCTGCAATGATGTTCTATTTGCCAAAAACACGTCCAGAGAAACATTTCGACAAGGTTTAATGAAAATTCACAAGCAGTCGAGCGAAAAAAAGTATTTTCAAGAAAAAAAATTCAATTATAAATTATTTTCTGAGATTTTCTGCAATCCGGAGGAAAGCATACAATTTATGGTTCCATCGAACGACTCAAAATTAGGTTAGTAAGCCGATAAAACAAAAGCCGAAAAAAAATTAAGCCGAAAAATGTTGTAAACTGAATAGAATTTCAAATTGCAGGAGTAAATGAAAACATAAAAAAGCAACTACAATTAAAACTGCAGACAGCAAAAAAATGTGACAACTAAGCCGACATAACATAGATAAGCAAATAATAAGCCGACAATTTTTTTTAAACTGAATATTTCCGTTTGAAAAGAAAATATGCCTGGTCAGATTCTAACAAAGGACCTTAGCCGTCTCAGGCGTCTTTGTTACCTCCAGACTAAGGGTACCGGAGAGGCTTCGAAATTTGAATTAATTGTGAACCAAGTGACTCTGTTAAACAAGTTGTTAAACCGAAAAAAAATCTATATTCCGATTTGATAACGCTTTCTAATCGCAAGCGTAATTAATATTCAAAAAGCCTGAAATTTTAGTGAACCTGATTTTCTAAAACAAAAAAACACCCCCCCCCCCCCCCCACAATCCTTCTCAGTCTTCTTCTTGCAACTTTGACAATACTCACTTTAGCTCCGGATTGAGATAACACTAATTTAGCATGTTTGTCAATCGATTCTTTCGTTTTCATTATATCTGAAAAGAAAAAATTATACTAATAATTACAACTGTCAAATTCACTTGAAACAAAAAATTCAAATAAGAGCTGATGAAAGAATTTTACTTATGCTTACAAAAATCCGGCATTTAAGCAACGACTTCTGACCTTTTTTCACAGCGGTTTTAGAGAAGTCGCCAATCAAGTTTGATAATTTGATGAAACAAAACCAAGAATATTTTAAATATCACCAAGAAACGCTTAAAAACACAGCAAAATGTCAAAGAGACAGATGAGTGAAAACGGTGAATAACATAAAATAAGCCAATGAAAAACTCTCTCCAAACCCTCCTTTCCCAAAATCTAAGCTATTTTTAAATTTGAGAACCTTGAACGCTACGCTGCTAGTCTCAAACTGGAGACAGTAATTCATGGTTTTATTTTGGTACAGATGAAGTGTTCCAATTTTTCTACCAGTTTTTCCAATTATTTTTTTTGTCCGCCTTGCCCCGTTAATCCGACAAGATAACTATGATCACAATAAAAACTGCTATTCATTTACTTTTGTTAATTTTTCTAAATAGCTTCATCCTTGTTATTTTTTTTGTTGCGTTCGTTGATTTCATTCAACCAGGATATGTATATAGTGATGAACATATAAATCATAATCAAAAATGACTACTTTTTATTTTTCAGAACGGAGATTCTGGGAAAATCAATTCGAAGAATCAAACGTAGACGATGACGCATTCGCTGATGACCAGGAATTTCAGAGTCACGCGGCACCTGCGTCGCCTACGTTGCGCAATTTACAATATGCTTCTAGCATCAAATCAAAGATGTCGCCAATGATGCCCCAAACTCCGGAACGGCAAACCTGGGCACCTCCTACTCATGCGGCTCTGGCTGCTAGTCCATATCGCCAACAACAATCGAGCAGTTTCATGCCAGGATCCATGTTTCAACATGGATCCATGAGTCCTTCGAGTGTTAACTCTCAGGGATCTGGTATCAGCACAAGTGACATCGCGCTGGCCGGATCTCTAGCAAGAAGCTCCACTGGTTCGAATAGACGACTGGCTGGGTCTCTGGAATCTTTATCTGGAGATGATTGGACAACTAGATATTGCAAAAAGGTTCTCATTCAATTTTACTTGACTAGTTCGTTGCTATTTAGAATTTAAAAAAAACTCCAGTAACTTTTTTCATTTCGTTTATCAGTGACTGATCCCTTAACATCCGGGAAATTGTTTTGTCAATAAGCTGCCAAATTTTTTCCAAACTTATACTTACATAACTTTACGAGAATTGTCAGTTTCCTTTGTATGGAATTGAGAGCATTTTTGTATGATGCCTAGATATTGCAAAAATTAGCGCATTTCATTATGCCATCACACTTAACCCTCACCAAGAATTTCTAGAAAAACCTAAAGTCGGGGGAAGAAACCCACTCCAGGCCATGGTTTCTTCCCATTTCGATGAAAATGACTGAATGAAACTTTTCTGGAATTAGAGAAAAGGCGGCTTTTGAGTTTCTTAAGCCCTCATAAACTTATAATACAAGGTGGTCTTAAAAAATTAATTTCCGCATTACGAATTCAGTAGGCTATTTTTTGGGAAAAAGATGAGCAGCATATGAATTTTACCAATGGTCAATTTTTTTTACTAAAAATATTTCAAAAAAAATAATTTCAGCGTTATAAAAGCTCAGTTTGTATTTTTTTTAAAAATATCATACGCATTTTTCAAAGTTTCTTAGTTGCTGGTTTAACGGCACTAAACAATGTTAAATCCAAACCACTAATTCAAACAAGAAAAGAAGAACGGACACAAAATCATGCAGACCCTTTTCAAACTATGTCAGCTGAAGGTGTTCAGCTAAATGAGGGAGAGCTAAACTCCCTTGAAATAACTTATTACCTTGACGGAGGATGCTGACCTCACAACAGCACAACAGAACTCGAGATCAACTACGACGAGTTGATGCTGCGTTTGATGACATTTGCTGTGCAAACAATTCTTTGTCGAAGCTCACCAATCACACAGAGCTGACTACCACACAACACACTCATACTATAAATCCAGAAAATTGAAACAGTCTGGCTGAAAAATACCATAATGAAACAAGGATAACCGTATACTATGCAAGTAGCACAGAGTGTTCCGACCACTGTCTTAGAAGAATACAATAACTTTTTTTTCAAATTAGTGTCGTTTTTTCTGTAAGGTATGATAAAAAAGATCTGAGCGAAAAAAATTGGACATATTTGACAGTCATAGCAAAAAAAGACCATTCGGAAAACAGTTTTTTAAGAAAAATGACTCGAAATTTTCCAAAATTCTGAAACTTTAACTTTTGTTTAAAAGCGCTATAAACTCCAAAAACTACTTTATTTGAGTACACCTAAGTTTTTACGGCTTAAAGTACGCTTAAATAAGCTATTGTAAGCATAGACAGGAGGGGTTTTGTAGGTTCCCCAGTAACAAAAACCAACTCACATGAGCAGTTTTTTCGTTTCTCCGCACTAATTAAAAACTGCCCGCCAGAACTGGGCACGGGAGTTTCGCTCGGTTTTCTATAACAAAACTACTCCCTAGAACAGGAGTTTACTCAGGGCTGGAATAGGGGGCTTTCCCGCTCTTAGCGAACCCTGGGATCGCAACAGTCACTGTTTGAAAACGAGACGACGTAACAAATCAAACTCGACAATTACGATTGTGGAGTACCAAAAATAATTGACAAAAGCGAGTTGAGGCTGCAGACGAATCGATGCTTGTGAGCAGCTACTAGTAACAACAAACATCAATTCCGTCGAGTCCAGGGTTAAAACGACGTTCAAGTAACAAATGCTACCGGTATGCCCTACTTATCCCATTGGGTGCCAAAAGCACCTTCCAGGAACGACACGAAACCACTATTAGCCGAAACAAAGTGAACTAACGGCGTCTACAGTAAATGAGGCTACTACAGCAACATCAACAAGAAGAGACCTTTACTTTATGGATTACAGGACAAATATTTGTGGCCTCGTGGCAACGCAATTTAATTGGTTTCCATGAGCAGCTTTTGAATAATTGCTGAAAAATTCAACACAGAGGCGAAGCATGGCTTTACAACACTTGCGATACAAAAAAAACATCTAACGCTACAAAATAGTAAATGAAAGAAAAAATAAGTTGAAAAAATATGGAAAATTTAGTTGAAAAAAAAAACTACTTTCGGGTCTAAACGGGTCGAAACCTGTTGAGCCTAAAACAAAACTGTTGTCATAATAAATTTCACTAAAAACTATTAAGTTTTTACGACCCATCCAAACTAAAACCCAATCCCAAATGGATATTTGCCCTCAAAATTACGCAAAACAAGTTGACATAGTCAATCTAACATAAATTGAACCTGTTTGAATATTAAAAAAAAACGAACAAAAAAATTAAAAAAACTCAAAATCAGATGGTAAATTTACAAAGTTTTGAAATCAGTTCTGGTGAACGAACTATTCAAATCGGACCACAACCCATGCTTTAAAAATTCATAAATAAAAAATCTGTCAGATTTTTAAAAAATGGCGTTTAAAAAGACGGAAATTGAACCGATAGAAACTAGGACGAAAACCAGGAAGCCAAAAAAATGAGAATTTTTTTTGGAAAGATAATTACAACCTGAAACGGACTTGAACTAATTACTAGCTAACTGATAGTACTTTTATTTGAATTTTCAAGAATCTTAAGAAACGAAGATCCGCTAGAAGTTGTCCACAGGATCTTCACTTCTAGAAGTGAAGATTCTGTGAACAAAGCTGTTAACCGGAAAAAGTCTAGTTCCCGATTGCAATATCCTTTCTTATCACAAGGGTAAGATAGCGAAAGAAAAAAAATCGATGGTAATGAAAATTTCAAAGAATAGTTTGTCAGACGAAAGACAGAAGAACCTAAGGATTGTTTGAGAAAATATGAAATATGATGCCATGTCAATCTTAATTCAAAAGTGGGCAAAATAACCTAATGAGATAAAAGTATAACTTAACAGGTAAAGCGCAGCATGAATCAAAGACTGCTGCGGGAACAAAGCCGGCGAAAAAAGGCAGAGACGATAGTGTGAAAAATGCATAACATTTACAACCAAGTGTCGGCCGGACTCGAAACTATGGCCTTTATCGTCTCAAGCATATGCTTAATGATACCTCCAGGTATAACGAGACTAAAAAGTCGGTAATTTGAAATTAAAATAAAGCAGATTGAAACGTAAAACAATTTCACGTGCGAACTCTGCAAAGAAAGCCAAGGTCAAGGTTGAATTACCCTTGCTCCAACTTCAGAAAAACAGTCAAGAAACACATTCACAAACAATAGTACACTTTTAGTATTAAATCTCGGCAGGTCACTAAGCCGACAATGCGTGGGTATGAAGCAATGACAAAGTTCAATTTGATACAATAGACACAGACTTACCAGATAGTGAAAAAAAAAGAGACGGAAGAAGAAAAATATACTTAAACTAAAAAATATCACAAGTTCACATCTGATGAATTTGATAAACAGCGTTAAAATGCACTGACAACCCTTTAACGAGCGCCAACTGAGCCAAAAAAACTTGGGTCGACTCCCGTTTAGCCGAAACATAAGGGTTGTCCAGAAAATTTGAGCCATAAAATTTCGAAACTAACAGCTTTCAGGATACATCCCTATTGAAACACTCGAAAGTCGAGGAACATAATTTCTCTCCAAAGTACGCAATAGGATGAGAGTTAACCGTTATAAAATCAGCAAAAACAATTTAATCGAAATACATATACAAAATCAGAGTTGATAAATTTACAAATTACAGAACAACTTTCAATTATATTTAATCGGAATAAACACCCATTTTGCAAAGGAAGCTGATAAACAACCGTAATAGATAAACACTTCATTTGAAAAAACGGAATTTGAGCCGACAGAAGCTAGGACGAAAACATTGAATCCAAAAAAAATCTTTCTCTAAAATTTTTTCTCATTTTATTTGAAAAAATTATTAACTGCTGAATAAGGACTCGAAATATA